GCTGACGAAACAGCTGTCCAGTACTCCCAGGTTTTCGAATGGTTCTCTAACCAATGTCAGCTCATGATGAAATCTTGTAATTTTTAATCAGTTGGTGTCTTTCCACAACCTCTGTAATATTCAAAATGATGTGCTCCACAGTGATACACGGTAGAAGGAGGATAAATACATCAAAATATGATAAGCATGCTTTTACTCTCAGGATACATACATATATATGCGTGCATCGGTGGATCAGTCGTAAAATACTCGCCAACCACCTACGTGATCAGAGTTCAATCCCCCGGCCTGATGCACTCCTCAACGTGGCTAAGCCAGTAAACAGGAGTAATTGGCATTGAGGCTAGAGACCCCATCTCATGAAAAAATAAACACCGCGCCACTAGTGAGACTTCAAACCTCATACATACTTGAAGCCATATGTTCTACTGGGAACTCAATTCAAGGAACTCTGACCAAATCTTATTATAAACAAGTTTACAGCTGCCACCCAGTTACCAAACAGCTAAGATACTCATCAGCAGGATAGGAGCAAAACTAACAAGAAGTCCTAAACTTAGATTTAGTGCTAGCTGACAGTGTCGGCTTAAAGTTGTGTCATGTACACAAACAATAACTCTCCTGATTAGATCTTTTGAAAAAACTATCTTACAGCAAATAAGACGATAAAAATCCTATAATCATATACGTCAACTGATTTGAACAATTCTCCACGAAAGTAATATGTATGCTCGACACTATATACTAAGAATGCGAGTTTACCACAGTATTATACGAAATTCTGATGGTAAGAACCTGAAATTCTCCAAGATTTTGGCATTCTTTGAATGCACGAAAAGTATTGCTAACGATGGCCTCTACTACTGCACATAATTTCACACTATTAGAAAAACAGCAACTGGCGAAAATCTACTTTTAAAACCAACACAAAATTGGACTATCATAGTATGTCAAAAACCTGTTGTTGAATAGTTTGTGCACTAACGCTTTTACTTTAGGATCTCAAGTTTATAGCAGGCTCCGCCTGCTTCAGCTTAAATAACTTTTTCATATTTATTTTTGTTTTTGATCACACAGCTTGATGCCACACCGTATTTTTGGTAGAAGTATGGAATTTCCAGCATGTGATATCGGTAGCCCAAATTTTTGCAGGCCGACCATAGATATCAGGTGTGCATCAGCAGGGGATCGAACCCCGGATCATGTACATGGTCGGCGGGAGTCCTAACCGTTCAGCTACCGACGTACCAACATACAGGCATCAGTTGTACTTCACAGTCTAGTGTATGAAAAATCTGTTCCACGAGGTTCAGCTCCCAACTAACCAATGATTCATCACAAAAGATAATAAGTGTTAATACACTTTCATTTCCCCACCCCCCAACAAGTTCCCGAAAAAACAACGACCGAAATCAGCATATGCGCTTACAATACCGTTTCTACAGTCAGACGATGAGAATGTGCCTGCTAAACTTCTTAATTTACGAAGAATACAGTAGTAAAAACAACTAATCAATATCTGTAAAGTGGAAATTCTAGTAGCCAAAAATATGCATCGGTACTGAAAAATGTCAATTCCTCACACACACACACACACACACACACACACACACACCATATTAATGAGTACGTCAGTAACTCAAGAAATAAACCAAAAATCAGTTATAACAACAATTATTCTACCTTACAGAACCCTCCATCAGATAACTATTCTAATGTATGAAACAAGAGAAAGTGGAGAAACCAGCGAAACTACATACACTAAAGAACAAACGTCATAAAAATAAACCAGATGAGCTAAATCAGCTGGGATGTCATTAGGACACCCCACCCCCCACACAGTTGCCCAGCCTGAAGTAGGTAGAGTGAGTCGCCAACCGAATACTCACTAACTGGAGGCCCACATTTCTCAGATAGGTAAGGGGAGGGTGAGTCAATTGATGAGGTAATGAAACTGCATTGACTGAGTCGGCTAAAATATGACTTGCGCATGCCCAATCACCGCCTTCCTCAACATGCAATGTTGAGAAGAAAGTTAGGGGGAGGTTTGAGCCAAGAAATGCCATCACAGTCCATGAGGTCCCTGACTGTTTGTTTCAGTCTGTCTGTTTTCGACATAGAACTTTGCACAAATGTGCGGAAGTTCAAGTCGCCACACTCCGTGTAGCACGCGAAGCAAGAGAAGAAAGTACAAGAAAAGCATAATAGAAACAGTGAGCAGAGGTGTGAGACAAAGGAGTAATAAAGAAAAACAAAACAGTTTCATTGGAGATCATACGTCACAAGGAGTGGATGCATCTGCGCTAGCCACTGAGAACGATTTTGAGCCATGTCACCAATTGTTTCCAACCATAGATTTTTACCATCCCGAGGACCCCAACCAGTCAGGGGTCTACACCTTCCTACGTGGCTTAGACCAACTGTTGTGGATTTCATTGACTGATACCAAGTTTTTGTTTGACCGCCACTAGCTCTTTTCCAGCCTGACCCTATATCCACTAACATTGCTCGTCGAGAAAGGCGATGACTAGGCTAGGCATGCGTAACACATGTCCTAACCATCCCAGTCTTTGTAACTTCACGACTTCGTCGATTGATTTCCCCTGTTTACCTAGAACTCGACGCCTAACTTCAATGTTGCTCACCTTATTATGCCACTTTACACGGGAAATAGAGCGCAGGCACCTATGATCAAAGACAGCTAGTCGGCCTTTTCATGTCTTCCACTCTCAATGGCCAGGTCTCGCTCACAGCCATAAAGGAGGACGGAGCGGACTGCTGAGCAGTACACACGCCCTTTGGTCGATAGCTAGATATGATGTCTGCGCCAGAGACAGCGTAAACTGGCTTATGCAAAACTAGTCCTCTCTTTTCCAACCTGAGAGGTCCTATGCCAGCTAACATTGCCCGTCAAGGAAGGCGATGGCTAGGCATGCATGCATCACACATGTCCTAACCATCTCAGTCTTTGTAACTTCACGACTTCGTCGATTGATTTCCCCTGTTTACCTAGAACTCGACGCCTAACTTCAATGTTGCTCACCTTATTATGCCACTTTACACGGGAAATAGAGCGCAGGCACCCATGATCAAAGACAGCTAGTCGGCCTTTTCATGTCTTCCACTCTCAATGGCCAGGTCTCGCTCACAGCCATAAAGGAGGACGGAGCGGACTGCTGAGCAGTACACACGCCCTTTGGTCGACAGCCAGATATGATGTCTGAGCCAGAGACGGCGTAAACTGGCTTATGCAAAACTAGTCCTCTCTTTTCCAACCTGAGAGGTCTTATGCCAGCTAACATTGCCCGTCAAGGAAGGCGATGGCTAGGCATGCATGCATCACACATGTCCTAACCATCTCACTCAGCCGATGTAACTGCTTCACAGCCTTGTCGATTGATTTCCCCATGCTGAAACTCAACCTAGACAACTACCCACCAACCTATGAAATATCAGTCACCTAAATATATATGTAATATATCATGGCGAATACAACTTGCTAACCACCTCATAAAATTTATCACACACACACACACACACTACAAATGATAAACACGCAAACAAATTCTTCAGCAAAAAAAATAGAAGGAAAAACAAAGAAAGATCACAGCAATTACATAACCATATAATTTGTTATGAGTAATGAATTAATAAGCAGTGTGTGTGCATGTGTAAAAGTATAAGATGGATAGCCAACAAAATGGAACCATTAAAAACTTAAAAACTGATGTTTGTGCGAATAATAATAGTAATAATGTTTTTTGATAACAACATTAGTTGTACTGATAGAGTATTGGGTAAAGAGTAGTCTCACATTTTTGCAAAAAATGCCTTTTTTTAAAACTAATACAAGATAGATGCACAGTGTATATATATAGAGAGAGAGAGAGATCACGATAAAATGAGACTATTTTATGCTTATCCCCTAAATGAGAGAAAAATGACAAAAGGACAATCAACTAACTATAATTGAATATCATATTTTTATAAAGAAGAAATTATACAATACACACATAAGATAGACAGACAGACAGACGGGCGGACGGACAGACTAGAGTAGAGACAAGAATTAATTAAAACTTCAAAAAATGTAATATTTATGTACATATGCTATTTTTTATAACAGTATATAAGTAAGTCAGATTGTAAAAACACAATAATATGGAGGAGAGGGGCCGGGTGAAACCAACAAACGAAATAATATTTCTAATAGGTATAGTGTTATTAATTACATACTCATATTCATTATTACACACATATGTCATACTAACACACACTAGTGAATGTTTCTGGGGGACAGCTGTTGCCAATTGAAGTATTGTTGCATAGTTTTGCACGATAACACAGGCGATTTTTCTGGGGGAAGAAGGGCCGGGCGGGGCGGGGAGAGAGCGGGTGGGATTAAAGCATAGAAAGGACACAGAGTAATACATTAATATGATTAATATTATTATTATTATTATTATTATTATTATTGAAAGGATGTCATACATGGGCTTTTGCTGTTGGCGGTGGTGTTCGCTGTTTCTCATCTAAATTAGAATAGAGAAATGAATAAATGAGATCGATCCAAATGCGTAGAAGAAGAAGAGGAAGAGGAAGGAGGAGGAGACGACGGCGAAAAAAGAGAAATGAAGAAATATCATCTATCAACAAGTTCGATAAAAAAAATTGCTGAGATCTCTCCTTCTCCGGGAGTATAGTTTGCTCTTTCAACCTATCCCCACACATCTTTTCTCGGATAATAATAATATTTACTTCACTCTTTTTTTTAAGAAAATTTTTATGTACACGTGTCTAAGAGAATTTGTGATCAGATAGATAGATGGTAGAGATGGCTGGTTGGCTAGATGGAGTATCGTCTCTGATTTCAAAAAAAGAAAAAGAAGACAAACAAACACATGAAAACAATTAAAACAAAATCAGGGAAATTATTTTTTACAATAGGGACAGTAGTAAGTTTCAACATTTGCTTCGCTTGGTTTCAGTCCAAGACAGACTTGATGATACCATAGAGCACAACGATCGCATTGAATCCAATCGATAGCTATATCTTGAGGTTGTTTACACGGTCGAGCTGAACACTCTTCACTGTCATAATGGAACATATCACCACCGGCGGCAGCAGCAGTATCATCTTCAGCATCATAACCACCAGATTTACTGGATTTACCTGAACGACGCTTCTCCTTACTATGCATATGACTACTAGGCTGTTTAGTTGTACTTGATGATTTACGTGAAACAGAATTTGAATGTGATTTTTTCACCTTTTCTGTACCATTGGAACGTTTTTTCAGCGAGGATTTAGAACTAGCTGCTGAACTTAGACGTTTTGAAGTTGAATTGTCATCGTCATCATTACTATCCATATCATCGTCTTCATCGACTTTAAGACGATTTGAAGTAGCAGCAGGCTTTTTGAATTTTTGACGATTAGCATTACGTGATGATGCACCAGCACCAGCACTGCCGCCGCCGCCACCACCAGCACCACCACCTGAGGCTGCAGCATTACTTCTAGGTCGTTTAGCATCGATTGATTCATCATCATCACTTGATCCAATCGAGTCGTCTTCACCATCGGATCGTTGTGTAGACGAGACTGTTGAACCAGGCTGGGCTGGATAGGATTTGCGTTTTTTAGTTGTTCCGGCTACAACATTTTCTTTAGCTGGTGAATCACTTAGTTCTACCTGTTAAACAAGAATAGAGAACATGGAGATAGAAAACGTACGCGTAGATATTTAACAAGTGATGTGTGAGTCAAAACTCTGCAAGAACTAGAGATGTTAGCTATTCGGAATGATAAATATCTGGACAGATGGATGCATATGACCGGGCGTCTTACATAGCCTCTCCTGAGGAAGTCCTACTCACTGCCTTCACGTGGCGGAGGTGTTTCTCACCAAAGTGAGAGGGCGAAAGCGGATGCCCGGCGCTCTCCACCGGGTTGACTGTCCATTGGATGACAGTCTAGGGGAGATGGCTAAACCCTGATTCCAAACCTCCAACGACTGGCGTATGAAGCTCACTGGAGCTCACCGGCAGACGTATGGACAAAGGGCTTGTTGGATGTCCTGGATGTCTGGCCCCATTCAAAAAGGCGTATGAACCGAACTCCGGTCACCGGCTGCCAATGGATAGTGGACTCCTTACTCCACTCCTACTGCCTTGTAGGTCACACTTGGTTGTGTAAAGGCTAGAGCTGCACTCTCAAACAAAAGGCCGAGCGATGCTGGGGACATCAATCGTACCAAATTCCCATGAAACTTCATGAACTCTCTTACAAATTGCCGCGTCTGAGCAGTGATGATTCGAGACGTTCATGAAGCCGGCTCATCCTCCCGTAGGAGACAGCCGAAGTAAAGCAAAGCAAGATGGATGCATACTCCGGTGCATGGAAAATATATGAGGTAGGGTAACAAGTGAATGTGTTGTGAAAACTAAAGCTGTACACGTTGAAGTGAATGCAACAGAAACGCGTGTATGACTTCATATTTTTTTTCAAATGAGTATCTAAACGATTGTCACAGCCCCCAGAACAGTACAGATCAATAAGCAAGCATTCAGTTTTGGATTGCTTCATTTACACGTCCAATGAACTATAAAAGAGATCAACAACTCATCTCTGTAAAGATTTCTATAACATACATCTAGTAAAACCCTCCCTCTTCCCCCGGGAAACGCTGAACTCCAACAGAAGGGATTCTAAGTTCGTCTTCACTAGAGTTAACAGTAAAGTTACTAAGAAATGTCATCTGATTTTAATGGATGCAATATTAGCAAATCAATAACGGGTGCCACACAATTCGTATAGTGCATAGTCTGGTACATGAAATCCGTTCTAGGTAACTTACTTCTAACTAGCGGTTATCGTATGCAAGAGAACCTCGATGTTAGCATCGTCTGATGACGGTGTTCAAAACACAAAACACTTAAACACCTTAAAGTGAACTAGGAGGAAACAACTGTCCAGTACTCCCACGTGGTTTCCCAATAGGTCTCTAACCGATGCCAGTTTATGATGAAATCCGGTAACCAATCAATCAAAACCCTACAAACCAATAACTGAATATTAATGAGATGCTCACTAGTGACTGGTCCTATTCAGGTAGGTAGTTACCTGGGGTTCTAGCGAGAAGTCGTGACCAGTAGGGGGCACTAGGTCGGGTGTGAGGACAAACGCTCGCCGGAGACATTGGTTAGCGATCGCGCTATGTGGCGAATAGGCAGAAGTTGGCATCCATGGGTCACTGTATCGGGTCCCAGTGGATTAATGGTCTACGAGCTTTTCTTGTGACCAGAAGGTCCTGGGTTCGACCCCTAGTTGGTGGGTGCCTATTGGTGAAGAATCCCAGACTAGAACGAAACGGCTGTCTAGCAGTCCCAAGTTTCCCAATGGTACTCTAACCGACGACAGCTCATGATGAATTCCTGTAACCAACCAATAAAATCCCTACGAACCAATAATTAAATAAAATTTAACAGCCTGCTATGATAAATTTGCTGGTTATAAATCAACTTTGCAATCTATAAGATCTGATTTCGTCAATAAATTTTACGCACTGAGATTGAATGAACTAGTTTCTGTAAACCGCTTAGTTATAACCCCAAAAACACTTGTCTACAAATTCATGTAATGGTGTTATAGTGGCTGGCTGGCTGTTTTCGACATAGAACTTTGCACAAATGTGCACCAGTTCAAGTCGCCACATTCCGTGTAGCACGCGAAGCAAGAGAAGAAAGTACAAGAAAAGCATAATAGAAACAGTGAGCAGAGGTGTGAGACAAAGGAGTAATAAAGAAATGTTATAGTACTTAGTAGCTCCTATGTTTCATGCAGTTAGAGCAGGGCCTAAACAAGTGATCAGCCGATCGAATATATTAGCCCTGAAATTAAATAAATGCCTTAGGGATGATGCATCTGTATGTTAAAAACTTCAAGTCTACATACCAACTTCAGAAAAGCAAGAATCCTAAAACGTTCATGGTTCTGGTAGGTGACAAAAGAAGTCATCACAAGTGAGCTGTCACTGAGAAATGAATCCCACGTGAAGTCCAAGGACTGTTTAAGGTGATCTCTACGTTATGGAATTTCTTTTATTCCTTTACGTGCCAGTGGGACAAAGGGATTCAAGCTAGAGGCTTCAAGTTTCGGTAGCAGTAGTGTTTGTTTTTATGGGATGGGGTTGCTAGCCTCATGCCCAACTTTCCCCTTTTAACAGTCTTATTAATGGCTTATTGAGGTAAAGGAGTGCGTCTGTGGCCGGGGATCGAACTCCGAACCACATGTGTGGTCGGCGAGCATTCTACCGCTGTACCACCGACGAACGTTTTGGAATATATATATATATATATATATATATATATATATATATGTATATATATAAACTTAACAATAGAATTGATATACAGTTTGAAACCTTGAATATTTTTGTCTACTAATACCAAAATCAGATGTTTCCTGATCGCCGGCTTTGATCAAAAGTGAATTCATGTATTCACCTAAACACTATCGACATTATTTTAACAGAAAGTATACATAACTCTGTGACAGCTCTTAAATATTTCATTAGATATTTACGTACATATTGTGAAACAGAGAACTAAAGACCAAGTGACGACTAAACAAATAACACATTAATATGCATTTCAAAATCATATAACAAAAATATAAAATAGTCAGGTTTTAAATACAACTTAAGCTGTTGTAAAAGTTATCGTACGAAAATGTTAAAAAGCTTTTGATTTCTCTTATCTAGTTACAATTAAGTTATCCATTAGTAGTTTACTGAGACAGCACTTTAAATGGAATGCAAAGAATCGACTAACCCAGTTTCAACACAAAACTTTGCACAGACGTGCACTAGGTCAAGGTGTCATTTCCCATGTAACACAAGGGTAGACAAGAAAAAAAGTTATTCAGGAAGGCCACAACAAACAGATGTGAGGGAGAAAAAATAATAACGTGGGGAAAAACATGGAAGCTCAGGGGATATCGGAGACCACATAGAGTGAACACATCTACGCCATTGAAGACAAATTTTAGCCATATCACTGACACTACCAACCATTTGGTTCTTAGCATCTCGAGAACCCCAACCAGGCAGTCCACACCTTCCTACATTCGTGGTCACTTAAAACCAAAGACAAAGACTTCATGGACTGATGCCAGCTTTTCGGTTTGACAACTCCTTGATCTTTTCTAACACGATCCTATGTCAGTTAACATTACTTGACGTCTCACAGACATGAAGTACAGAGTGGGTTGCTGTGCAGCATACGGGTCCTTTGACTGAGCCCATTATCTCGTCTACACCAGAGATGACGTAGGTAGGCGAGTGCCATTCTAAAGATATGTGTCCATTTCGTTAATAAAACCTACAAAAATGAGTTACCACACCTATGAATTAAAAAACAATAGTTTTACACACGGTGAATTTCACATATATTTGATTTTACCTTTGGCAAGTAACATAATCCATGTTTTTGTGCTAGCATAATTAGCCAAATGCTGAGATAATTCGCCCGTCAACCGAAAATCGACGGTATGACACACAAACTATTCTTCACTTAGTGAAGGTTGGAGAGTAATAAATGTGAAGCCTGTTTGAAAACAGTTATCTGGAACAGACATTTATGTTGTAAGCTATGTAGTCACACAATTATTACGTGGAGGCTAATAATAGTAACCCTTTGGCCGGGCTGATATAAGTGGATTTCGATTAAAATGTATGACGTACAGGCTGAAATCCAGGTGATTAGGGCAGTCAATCACATCTCCGCAACGTGAAGTTAAATATTCATATAATCCTGCTTCACAATATTAGATGCAGAAACAGCAAAAGATTTTTCTCAATTCACTGGAGAAGTGGGACAACAGTGTGAATTAGTTTTGTGTTACTAGCTTAACAATGCAGAAATATACACAATTCATCAGTCTCGTACCATGAGACGACGACTTCATGGACTTTTGTCATGCCTTCATCTGACCACACCCTGATTCGTTTACTATTCTGAATTCGGCTGATATTGCTCCTAGAAGGTGACATAACATGTGTAACACTCATTGTGGGCAACTTACAACCTCAACGGCCCACCATTCTCACATACAAAACATTTCCATCTAAACTTATTATTTATCCCACTGTTTTACTTAACGTGAATTAATGAACTCAAACGACTATAACAGAAAACCTGGTGTTTCTGTAGCTTCAATGGCTATATCCAATAGCCTTATATTGTGACAATAGGAAATGCTGTACAGTACACATGCCTTTTACTGGATAGATGGATATCATGCCAGTCATTGGGTTAACTACACGCATTAACTGCTTTAATATGCGTAGGTGAACTTGTTCACTTTTAATCCTTAAACCAATCATCAGTACACACTAGTATACCATACTTTAGTGAAAAATATACATGTGCATTTAGTAAAGACAACAGGTTTGATGCAACTAGTTGCACAGATTCGCCTGTGAAAATGCGTCACTAGGCTTAGTTGCAACACGTATACATAAAAGCAGAAATCACTGGTATTGCTACTGTGATCAGAAATTATACCTGGATAAACGAAGTCAGAAAGTTGTGTGAGTAGTGCCTTGATATGATTATGAGCAGCAATAAATTGTGCTTGAAACGTCATCAGTAAATATTACTGTGAGACTATCAAAATCAACTTTACCCGTAATGGGATTATGCTCTACCACAGTGCACAAGTTTTACTCATCAATAAACTGAAGACTGTTGACAAGAATAAAGATAAGCTTTAGAGCATCGAATTTACGTAAAACATTTTTCAGTTCTACACAGTTGTGACAGCACTGGGCATTCCAAAATAATAAATATTTGTAGCTCAGGTAGATGATTTTGATTTGGTTATATTTTCTGAGCTGGAGTCTTAAATGGAGAATACTCGACTAGAAATAATTCATCTTTCGCAGGGTAACAGTGCCAAGACAAAGAACGGGTGTGAGACATTAAACAATTCTACAGAATTTCTCCGAATAGATTCCTGTTTGTCGACTTCGTTCGCTCTACACAGGAATGACTCGCCTAGAATACGAGCGACCAAAGTGGATTAATCTAGGTAGAGACTTTTGGTCACTGAACTTCTAAAAACACAGAGAAAAGATTACTTATGCTTTCGGTAAGAACGATTCTACGATCATGTGTAAGATGGTACAGAGTGCTTCAAGAATCACGATGAATCAATGAAAAAACGGATAAACCTACTCGGTATTTTAGGTCAGAGTAAAACAGGGCCACTGGCTCTCCAGGCTTTAGATTGGCTCCATTCAGATGACCAAAGCATACAATATCTCCATGCTTGAGCGTCACTCCACCCATTACTCTTGTGTAATTAACGTATGTACCATTCATGCTGTGATCATAAAGTATAGAACCACCTTTGGCTGAACGTTCTATAGTTGCATGATTCCGAGATATCATTCGGCTATTTATGCAGCTTTCTATTGGATAGTCAGGTGGTATTTTGGTGTTAATCCGTCCAATTCGAATTTCCTTTTGTCCAGGCTTCAGTTCTATTTTCTTAGGACGATACTGGTCGCTTGATGAACTGACACATCCAGCCTGCTCACGTTTGTCTTGATCTAAGTCACCGATCCACCGTAACGTAACCGTACTCATTGTGTGAAGCACATGTGAAAACCAAGTAGTTAACCCGTTTTGCGAAACTTAATTGTGAACATTCACTTAAAATGTCTGCGAATGGGACTTTGAGAGTCTGTTTTTAACAAGGTTCAATGTAAAATACGTGAAAATAATGAGTTCTGAATGAGATTTTAAGTTTTTACTAAGAAAAATAATAAAACTGACAAAGATAAATAGTTTCAAGAAATTAGGCTAACAAGTATCTGTGTCGCTGGAGTGGTGTTGGTTGGCTGAAACTGGGATCTGACTATAAGGTACTTTATAACAACGTATGTAGTATCAGTAGCAAATTCCATAAGCTAAGTATTTCAGCATATAAATAAAATCCAGAAATCATGGTTATCATTGAAACATGAATTGTCTTTTATTTGGATAAGACTACTGCATTATCAGGGTTTAGGCGTCTATGTGGCTACATGGTTGACGGCTGTGAGGACAGTGGAGTAAAGCAGGCGACATAAAGAATTTATTCATTCATTCTCTTTTGGTCACTGAAGACCATATACCACTAAGACTTGTGGTCCAGTCTTAATCTTAGCCTCACCGCAACATTGGCATTCAAGTATTGAATGTATTAAAGATGAGTGTTTATACTCTTGACCGTCTAGTCACCATTGGCTGTTCATTTTTCTGTCCATTCACAATGCAAAGAATAAATCCTCTTTCGGCAAACTGCTGATTGGAATTATACGTAATGTCCATATTCAGCATGTTGAGAATAATAACTGGGGAATGTCATGGTTTTATCACAAATCATTCCCACTTGTCTTGGCAAGAGAAACGTAAATACAGGAAGTGCTAGTGGAATGGCGGTTACTGTACCTGTAGAATTTAGTAAGGTCCCAGATAAGCTCTCCTAACCAGGATATGTCTAAAAGTTAGGCAGCTTTCTGGTCACTACTTTCTTGCTTATGCACTCGCTATTCTCAACAATCTTTAATGAGTAAAATGAGAAACTCGTAAGTTTGAAAATTGTGTTATTGTATATGAAATTTGCAAATGAAGCCATCATCTCACTTAAGCCTAAGCAGACTTCTGAGGGAAGCAAGGAGGACAACTAAAAATATCCAATTACGCATTTTTATATTTACCATTATTATTCCGAATGGAACATAGGGATTCAGTAGCACATCTTCACCTTGTCCCGTCCTCTTGAGCTGCCACAACGACCGCTCATAAGTTCATCTCTTCTCCACGTGATCTCCTCCATGTCATTCTTGGGTGCCCAACTCGTCACTTTCCATTCTGGCTCCGCTCGGTCGGCGGCCTAGAATGGGACGTCCATCTCAGGATCCACCTCTATTTTCTTTGGACAGAAGGTTCTTGGTTGGTTCGTTGCCCGAGTACGTCGTTGTTCATGCTGTCTGCTCTAACACCTAACCCTCAACACGGGGCGAAGGTATCTGCTGATAAAAGTCTGCAGCCTGTGGGAAATGCTTTCTGTGACGTGCCCAGCCTCTGAATCACAGAAAGACTGATTTAACACTGCTATTGGAAATCTAGATTTCGTTCCTAATGCTGAATGCACCATATTCCCGAACTGGTTTTAAAGTGACAAAGGGATGCCTTGCTTTTTCTATTCTAGTTTCGAAATCCTCATCCACGTAAGTGAAATAGCGCTGCTTAAATAAGTGCTGGAAGTGACCTGTTTTGAATTTCTCCCGCTGATACTGGCTGCCAGCCGTTGTTGGTTGGTTGGTTGGTTGTTTTCATCATCTCCGTCTTCTCTAAGCTCCCCCCTATCTTCTGTCATCAATGTTTCTTCTGCCAACTTAGTGATTTTCGACTTTTAGATCGAGTTTGTGTGACACTAGACGCAAATTATCCGCGAAGTCCACATCTTCTACAGTCATCTCATCGGTCTAGCGTATTCCTATGTTCTCATTCCTCACACTCTTCCACATAATCCTCTTTGACTAACTTTTCACAGGTGTGCGGCAGTTCGAGTTTTTTTATTTTTGATTACAGCTTGATTCCACACCGTATTATTGGTACAAGTATGGAATTTTCAGCGTGGATATCGGTAGCCCAAAATTCGCAGGCCGACCATAGATATCAGGTGTGCATCGGCGTGGGCTCGAATCCCGGACCATGTGGATGGTCGGCGAGAGTCCTAACCACTGTGCCACCGACGTAACACTCCTTCCATGTACCAAACAAAGCAACATAACAGAGTAGACAAGAGAGTGAGGAAAGATCCAAAAAAGAGATAAAAACAGAAGTGTGAAGGAAAAAGAATGGTATTATGGAGGGAAAACGGAGTTTTGCTGGGTGCGACGAATCACAAAGAGTTAAGAGTGCCTCAGCGCCAAACACTGGAAACGGTTTTTGGCTATATCATCAATTGTCCCCAGCCTTCACTTGTTCTTACCTCCCTGAGGACCCCAACCATTCAAGCACTCTACACCTCTACTCATGACTCGCTGTCCTAAGCTAACTGTTATGGATTTCATTGACTGATGAAGCCATGTTTAACCTCTACCAGCTGTTTCTAAAACTGGTCGATCCTATTCCAGCTAACATTGATATTCAAGGAAGGATGGTGGCTGGGCACGTACACGTTACACATGTCCTAACCATCCCAATAGTAGTAAATTTACAACTTCATTGATAGATTTTCCCTCCTGACCTAACATTAAACGCTTAACCTATATACTACCCATTACATGATACCACCTAAATGAAGGTGTAGAACTCAAATACAGAAACAGTTAGGAATCCTCAGTCGAATGAAGAGAAGAGCACTAATCATTCAGTAGATAAATAAAGCCTTACAAATCACAAATAGGATATAGCTCCTACTTGGTTGCTCTTACTACCATTCTGAGTAACCTTCCCTCCAGAAACGACTTCCCTAAGATTGCTGGTTCGATTGGCCTATCTTACGTAGGTATATCTAGGGCTTCCCATCGAGCATAAGTTAGGGTTGTTCACCCGGTGTTTCACGAGGAAATGCAACGATGCCATTTGTCCGCTTAGGAAACTGCTAAGCTTTCCTATTTAAACTACCGTACCATACCGTCATCGGTTGTTTCCTAGCTTGAGCATCTTCATCTGCCATCTAATAGTTGTATCCTCAAACGGGCTTTTGTGCAAAAAATACGCCCATCAAAAACCGGTTTGTAGGACTTTCTTGAACCTGGCTCGTCAGCATGAGCCCATGACTTTCTGAGACTCACTCATATGCATATGCTTTAAAATCTGGCCAGATTACAATTCATTTGCATATTAAAAAGATATATCAGGGCAATCAGTATCAGTGGTCAATTCGGCAATACTTACCCTTAGCCATTGGAATTGGTGCTTCACACCATGCACCTCTTGATGTTACGACTACGTTATGTTTCACAGATCCTTTGCTCGCTATGCTGATTTCATGGTAATGTTTATCACTAAGACGGACCACTGGATATATTCTGTTGAACTGTCTGTTGGCTTCATCCAAAGTAATGGCTGATGCACTCACGCTAGCTTAGGGGTCTACCTTGCCACATGGAGACGATAACTAAGGATGGACAGCAGGCAAAACTTGGTTGAGAAAGAAACCATTCGAGGGACTACCGAGAGCTGGTTACCTAACACCGCACTGGAAAAGTAGGATTTTCCCTGGCTGTGATCTCCAATCAGGTGTCTGCTCACCTGCCTCTGTGAGTCCCTGTTACGCGGGAGAAGGAAGGGGCTAGTTAGAGAAGCAAACAATTTGACCACATCATAATAATAATAATGTA